ATGACTTTATTTATTCTCATAACAAAAACTATGCATTTCTCTTACCTATAAAATATAACTATGGCTTATTTTATGAGGTTCTTGGGAAAATGAAATGATAATTAGCATAGTTCCTGGCTGCTGTGTGATCTCTTCTTGGGGAGATGTAACTCAACATCTACTTACTTCAAAATGGGAACCAATAACAGACCAGAACGTCTCACCCCAGCATGGTTGGTGACTTCCCTATCTCTTCATAGATGGAGTGTCCCCTTTAGTTGACCTTCCACCCTCTATATCCTCTAGTAGTTCTTGAGACCATGTGAAGCTTGTGAATAATTATATATAACTAGTAGTGGGACACTGGAGGGATTGGTTAGAGTCTAAGTTGAGAGTCTAATGACCTTTCTTAACCCTTCCTTCTAAATGGGAGCAACAGTAGGCCCAATCTTCAGGATCTCTTGTGAGCAATCATAGCTGCTCTGACTAAGATGGTAATAGCTAGCATGATCAGGGGACAGTGTTCCACAACAGTAGCAAGTGTTATTTAATCACAATAAGTGATTGAGTAGTATTATTCTTCAGTGCTGTATATGGACAATGAAACAGTGATTTCATTTTCCCAGGAATTATTTAGGAAATTAAGCTGTTAGAACCATTTTCTGAAGTTCATGTCCTCTCTTCTAAATCTTTTACATCCTTTTGGACTTGGTGCTCTTGTTAAAGAGCTTTACAAAGTGTTATTTTGCCTAATGTTCATGTATAGTTATAGAACTTTGTATGTTTTCCATGTTTCTTACTTAAACTATGCTTTAAATTTTTTAAGAGATTACTTTCCTTCTTAAACTTGGTTGTATATGTCTTTTCACTAGAAAGCATCCTGACCCTCAGGACATCTTTGTCCTGGAGTCTAACATATTTTTTTAAATAAAATGCAAAAGTTTTCATTGTTTAATTATCTTTATTTATTATTATGTTTTTTGCAGAGCTGGGAATTGAACCTGGGTCCACACATATTTTAGGAACTTTATCACTGAGCCACAGCTCTAGCCCCTGGGTAATTATTAAATGTTTTCTTTTCCTAATTAAATACATTTTTATTTTAAATGTATGAGTGTTTCTCTTACATGTATGTAATTGTATCACATGCATGCCTGGTACACGCAGAGGCCAGAAGAGGGCATCAGTTGTCCTGGAACTGTAGTTAAAGACTGTTGTGAGCTCCCATATGGGTGCTGAGAACCCAACCCAGTTCCTCTGAAAAGAGCAGCAAGTACTCTTGAAACTGCTCAGCTATTTCTCTAGCCCTCCTTTCCTAGTTATTTTTTTGTGGCTAACGAGTTTCTCATCTCATCCTCCTTAATTATGGAAGATCCCAATTGGTTTGATTTGAAATATAAGGGATATGAAGTATAAGGTATAATATTTGTGATATGAGTGGGATTTATTTATTTGAAGGGAAATAGGTTTATTGAGTACACTGCATGGGATGGCAGTTTGGGCAGTGACAAAAAGTACTTTTTGCCATTAAAAAATACAAATAAAATAAATATATGGATTTGTTTTGGAGTTTTTTGTTTGTTTTCATCCAGTACTGGAGACCAAACCCAGGGTCTTGTGCTTGCTAGGCAAGTACTTTACTCTGAGCTAAATCCTTACCTCCTTCCAGTGCGTTTTAACATGGTAATTCCATGTACAAAGTCTAATTCAAGTTCTATTCCTTCTGTGGTTCATGTATATAGTGAATATACTCTCTTATAACCTGATCATTTTAATTAAGCTCACTGTGGCCACAAAGCAATTCACATAAATTAGAGTTCTTTCCTGTATTCTTTTACAAAGTATAGCTTATGAAAGATCAACTTTTTCATGACAGAGTTTTGAGAGATTGTTCAAATTAAAAAGATGTGAATAACTTGCATAAGATATTGAAATGAATGATAACTGGATATGCTGAAGCATTATGATAGTTTTCTCCCGTAACTTTACTGAGTATTAATGAAAAAGACTTGAAGGACCCTAAGAAGAGAGCAGGTGGTGGAGACAGGAACAAGAGCCTAAGGGGCTCACTACCTACCTGACTAAGGAGATTAGGGTCAGATTATGGAGTTTTCAAGGTGCCTTATAAATATGAACTTTCTTTGTCCTCTAGATTAGACAAGTATTCAGGCTGTAAGAAGGAACTCCTAAAACCCAAGATTGATTAGCTTCGTATTCCCAGCATTAAATCTTCAGAATTCCATTAAGAATGAAACCTGTATTTCAAATATAACCTCTAAGATTGTTTGATGATCAAAGCATTTTTTATCATCCAATACTGACGTGATGAGATCTTTTGGAGATCTTGGCACAACTTCAAAGTGTGATAGAAGTGTATGTGGAGACCTCTTCCAAGTTTGGAAGGCAGCAGTTTGGCTGAGACACTGGAAAGAGAGACTTTCTTGAAAACATCTACAGTCTTTTCCTACTTTGGAATTCTAAAGGATAGCAAAACTCACATATGCATTCTCAGCACTGCAGTGAGTTGAGTGTTTCTGTTTGTTAATATGGATACATGATCTCCTGAGGCATCTGTAGTACTTTTATCACCCACCTGCCTCCTACTCCTTCCAAGAGCTGTTTCTATACATTGTGAAAGAAATTCTTTCACTTCCACCTCACATGTTTTGCTTTTGTTTTGCAGATCGAAAACCGAGAAGCAATTTAAGAGATTGGGCGGGAGGTGAGGGGAGGAGGCAAAGCGTTCAAAGAACCTCCAGTTAGCTTGGTATCTCTTCGCCAGGATTTTGCTACCCAAAGCTGCGGACTCTGGATTTAGCATCCTTCGTTGGATCCTGTTTTCTTAATCAAGCATTGAGTACTTTGGAACATCCTCCCTGTGTGACACCTCCTAGCCTCTGGCCAGGGTTCCTTCCCACCATCTACTTCTCTCCCCCCTCCCACCCCCAGCCTGCGCATGCGTCCTAAGAACCCCCTCCACTCGCTGCCCAGACTCCGAGTATTGTCGGGGGCTATTCTCTCTCCCAGGAACATGGCGGCGAGTCAGGGAGGCGGTGGGAACAGTGGGGGCGGCGGCTGCGGTGGAGGTGGAAGTGGCGGTGGTGGTGGCGCCGCTGGAGGAGGAGGAGGAGGAGGAGGAGGAGGAGGAGGAGGAGGAAGGGGAGGACAAGGAGGACAAGGATGAGGATGAGGAAGAAGAACATTCAAAGGAGAAGCATTACGGAGGTGGCGGCTGTGGCGGGACCGTGGTAGTGCCCATCCCCGTACCGACTCTTTTCGGTCAGCCGTTCCCCAATGGGCCGCAGTGGCATCCGGGGAGCCTGCAGCCTCAGCACACCGTGAGGAGCCTGGACAGGGCCCTGGAGGAGGCGGGGAACTCTGGCATCCTGAGCCTCAGTGGCAGGAAACTCCGAGACTTCCCGGGCAGTGGCTACGACTTGACGGACACCACCCAAGCAGGTGACAGGCCAAGAGGGAGGGGAAGAGGGCCGGGAAGGAGGATGGGGAGTGGGTGGCTGCGTGGCCTCTTCGTTGGACTCTGCGGTGCCCAGCGCACGGGCGGGGGTGAAGGGGCTCACGGAATCCTAGCCGCCGGCTCTGACTTCGAGGGGCAAAGCCTGCACTGGGGGAAAGAGGGGTGCAAAGGCTAGGGAACGATGGGGAAGATTGCGAGGATGTTAGGGGCGTTATTGTTCAAGCAAGTTGCTCTGGTACAGGCGGAAGGGAGGTATTGACATCTTCCTTAATGCACTTCTTTCAACTCTCCTGAATGGTCCTATCTCCCTTCCCTCAATGGGAGAGGATAGGAGTTGGGGGCCGGGGAGCTGGGAACAGACAATGCAGAAAATTATAATCTTTACATATTCCTTAAAGGCAACCATGCCTGCAAGAATGGCATAGTGCTTTTCAGATTAAGGCAGCAGGCTTGCTGTTTGTGTTCTTGTGTTGCATTTGGTTTTTAACCATCTTAGGAGACGCTTGGCTTTTTATTTGTCACGTATATCTTTAATGAGTGAATATTTTTTTTTTCTCATTTTCCTGGCATTGAGAAGGCAGTGGTGGTTAGATTAATATTTGGTGCACCAGCAGATTAAATCATCAATCACATAAGTATTTGGATACTGGGCAAAAGAAAGTCCACCTTTTGCATTCTGTTAGTTTTATATTTTGTCATTTAAAATTTTACTAAATTTTAAGAGCATTTTTGAGAAAAACATTAATTATGTTATATGGAGTTGGTGGCTAATGGCTATCATTTTAGGTGAGAAATTGGCTATTGTGATGTTCTTCGGGTACTCTGTTAGTCTTTGTTGTGGCTGGCATTTTTTTGTGATGAATACAGCCTTCTCTCTTCCGCTTAAACCACAGCTGCTTATTTTTAGCTATGTTTTGGTTTGCTGAAAGTTTTTTTTCTTTCCTTTCATAGTCTTTAAAATTTTTATTTATGTGTCTGCTCCATATACTTGACTTTAATAAATTATGGGCTGAAATATTTGAGACATATTAATTCTGAAATAATATGCAGCAAGTGAATTCATGCACGGTGAAAAGAAGTAAACAACCTTATTTACAAACAAGACAGTTTCTGTGCATTCAGTCTCTAGACATTAAATCAAGATATATGTGCTGGAGGAGGATGGAAAAAGGAAGAAAACCTAAAATTGAAGCCTCCCACCCAGTGATTTTCTTAGGCATTATCCTGAGAACTATGCATAATTAATACCTGATTTTGTATTTTGGAAAGCATGTTTGAATATTTACCCCTTACTCGGAACAGAATTCCTAAACAATATGTTCACATACTCATAGCTAGATATTGGCAAGATATACTACTTGGTGTGTTCTTCAAAAGCTTCAAGAAAAATGGCTTTAGATTGCATCATTGGAGGGATTTTTTTCCTTATTGTTTTTTTTAAAACCCATAAAGCTTCCTTCTATCTGTAAGACAAAGTTGAAGCATCTTGGCTAGACGTTTTGGGCTTTTATTACCCTGTCTTCCAGTTAGGCCAGCTCGATGCCCCTCAAATATATTTTGTGCAATTCTGCCTTGTCGTTATAGAAGGTTAACTGTATTTACTTCTTTTCTTCGTCTATTTTATTTTGTTCAAATCTATGCTTTAGTCCATAGCAGTCTCCTGTTTCTTTGAATTCCCAAGGGACTTATTATATTTACCACCTACTTGACAGTGCTGGCTTTATTTTCCTTTTATGTTTGTGCCTTGCTGTCACTGAGAAGATGGAAAGCCACTTCAAGGCAAGGAATCAGCCCCTTACTTGTTCAGTCTATATTTCTTTTATTGAATACAGTATTTCTCACCAATATGAATATCATTTTATTCGGTTTATAGCCTTTTTCTTTTAAGCCTTCAGTTGGTTTTCTGAATCAAGCTTCAATACAATCCAGGACCATATTTATTCTTGGTAAACAGTCGCCATAATCATTTTTGTTATTTTTTACTTTTGAGTGCTGAGGTCTCAGGACCTTGCACATGCTAGTCAAGCTCTGTACATCCCCAGCTCCCTTCTTAATCTTTGCCAGTGTCTATATAGTCACACAAATCTTTTGTGTTTTATTTTTGTTTTCATGTGTTTGTACAAGGTTGCACATGTAAGTGTGAGTGTGTGTGTGAATACGCAGACCAGAGGTCAGCCTCAGGTGTCTTTCCTCAGATGCAGTCCATCTTTTTTTTTTTTTTTGAGATAGGGTCTCTCATTGGCCTAGAGTTGTCATGGTTAGTCAGTATCAGGCATCTGCCCATCTTTACCTTCTAGCACTGATTTTACAAGTACACTACTATGCCCAGTTTTTTTTTTTTTTTTTTTTTTTTTTAACTATGTTGGTTCTGGAGATTGAACTTAGTTAGATCTTCATGCTTGCACATTTTATTTACCTAATGAGTAAAGTGAGTTTTATGGTTCTCCCTCACCCCCTCTTTCTTTCTCCCTTGTGTATACGGTGTGTGTATGTGTGTGTGTGTGTGTGTGTGTGTGTGTGTGTATGTGTGTGTCCACAAAACTTTATTCACCTACTGAGTGAAATGAGTTTTGTGGGTACCATGATGTGCGTGTTAGTCAGAGAACAACCTTGGATGTTAGTCTTTGCCTTCCACCTTGAGACAGGGTCTCTTGGCCTCTGAGTATACCAGGCTAGTTGGCCCATGAACTTCCAAGTATTCTCCTGTCTGTGTCTGCCTCCCATCTCATTGTAGAAGTACTGGGGTTACAAATGACTGAGCTACTGCATCAGGCCTTCATGTGAGTTCTGGGGATCTGAAACCAAGTTGTGAGGCTTGTTTGACAAGAGCTTTACTCACTAAGTTATCTCCCCAACCCCATACTTTCTTTTTGCTATAGGGTCTCACTCTGTAGTCCAAGCTAGCCTGGATAACTTGTTATCTGGGCTGGTATCTTGAACTTGTGACAATGTTCCTGCCTCAGCCCCTCTGGTTTAGAAGCATGAACAACCATTCATGACTGGCACTCAGTAGACAGAGGCAGGTGGATATCTCTGAGATCAAGGCCAGCCTGGTCTACATAGCAAGGACCAGGGCAGCCGGGGCTACAGGGAGACCCTGTCTCAAAAAAGAGCAAAAAAGAATAATTCTTCATTTTAGGCTATGATCGGCATGTAAGAGAGAAAATATTCGTTTTCTTCTTTCTGAGTTTAGATCATTTCGCTTAATATTATACTTTCTATGTCCATCCATTTCTTGCAGATTTCACTTTTCTTTACAGATGAGTAATATTCTATTTTGTATAAGTACCACATTTTCATTACTCAGTTTTCTGTTGATGGACATCTAGCTTGTTGCATTTTCCTTGTTTGCTTCCTATCATAAAATAGAGCAGCAATAAACATGGATGTGCAAATATTTTTGTGGTAGGATATGGAGTTCTTTGGGTATATACCCAGGAGTGGAGTAGCTGGGTCATATGGTAGTTCTATTTTTAATTTTTTGATGAACCTTCAAACCTAATTCTATAATGACTGCATTAGTTTGCATTCCCACCAGCTTTCTCTTGCCCTACATCCTCTCCAACATTTGTTAGATTTTTGTGATGGCAATCATTGTAATTAGGGTGAGGTACAATCTCAAAGTAGTTTTAATTTACATTTTCCTGATCACTAGGGATGTTGAACACATTTAAAAATATTTATTGATCATTTGGGTCTCTTTTGAAAAGTGTTCGTTTTATGTTGCTTAACAGTTTATTTCTCATGCCATAATGTATACATGTATATGTGTAAACAGGTATAAGTGTGGGTATAGTATAACATTTAGAAAGGAGCTCAATAAAGGGTAATACTAGATTGTGAGTAAGGACAAAATGCAAGTCAAAGGACACAATGAGTCATTAAAGAGGATATAAAGCTCTTTCTTTTTCCAAATTTGTTATAGTGGAAAAGTGAATAAAACTGGAATTGCTAGTGAAATTCTAAAAATCCCAAAGTGGCTGGGTGTGGTGGCAAACACCTTTAGTCCCAGTACTCGGGAGGCAGAGGCAGGTGGATCTCTGTGAGTTCAAGGTCTGCCTGGTCTACACAGTGAGTTCCAGGCCAGTTGGGGCTACAGGAAAACCCTGTATCAAAAGACCAAAAAAAAAAAAAAAAAAAAAAACCTACCCCCCCCAAAAAAAAACCCCAAGTGAAGCTTCACTGATTCAAAATGGCCATTCTAACTGTATAGAGAGTTTCACTGCAATGTATTAAATTTGGGAATGTGCATGTGTTTGAATGCCTTCCTTAAACTAGCCATATGAATGTTTTTAATCTGTGAATTAATTAGTAAAAGTGATTTAAAAAAATAAGTAAAAATGTCAATTTTTAAAAAAGAAAAACCCAAACATTCAGCTTTATTTAATTTTTTTCATTTGAATGTATGTTCTTTGTTAGAGCATATGAACATCTGCTAGAGTAAAATAGATTTTATGCTATTTTTCCTTTCATTTAAATATGCTATGAGTAGGTGGGTCATTTGCCATTTATTTTGTGAAAATTCAGTCAGGAAGTACATATGGACAATAGTTTTGAATACAGAGATCAGTGTTCATTTTATGTAAATGAAAGTAGACACACCAGAGCTGAAGGAAAATGGAGCATATTTGAGAATATGCACACGAGCATATACATACACATATGCAGTCTATATACTTGATGAAAACAGTTCTGTTTGATTATGCTGTTATATTATAGTTTAAATGCCTCTCAGTGGGTTAATGTTTCAGAACCAAACTGATTAATTAGACAAGCATGTGATGGTTTATTGGATTGAGAAGACACCAGAAGAAAGAAAAATAGCTGAGACTCTATTCTAGTTAATAGAGGTAAGCAGTGTTTAGAAAATGAGCTAAGGTAGTATTGACTTAGGGGAAACTGACAGCTTTCAAAAGTTGGGAGGCATTTTTGCATTATTTTGCTGTTCCTCACACATTTGTAAGATGTAATAGACCAGTGGTTC